AGGGACGTGGTTTAGTGGTGGAGTTGGCAATGCTGGATTAACAGTTGGACTCGATGATCTTAAAGATCTTTTCCAACCTAAACGATTCTACGATTAAAGCTTCCTTTGCATCTGAGACTTAGTCCCCAGGAGGTTGCAACGAGCTACAAATCCTCGCTCTGCACGACAGCTCCTCTGTGCAAAACACCCCCGGAGAGGGCAGGACAGCCCGCGCCGACAGGCAGAGGTCGATGCGCCTGCTCTGCTCAGTCCCCGAGGGCTCGGCACAGCCAGACCCCTCAAACCCCGGCTCCCTCACCTCCAAGAAGTAGAAGCGGTCGAGCCCACCGGCGGAGTAGTCCTGGATGCTCTCCGTCAGATCCTCCCCGTACACCACCGTGCAACGGCCCTGCACGGCGCGGAAGTCGACCGTCGTCTCCTCGTCGCTCCAGTACAGGAGGTTGATGTCTGCATGGTAGCTGGCTTTCATGGATTTGTGCGTGTTCTCAGGTCTGCAGGGAAAAAGCACCTGGATCGGGGAAATGTTTTTGGCAACATCCTCACGCTGGTCCAGCCTCCGACACTCGCACCACTCCGTCTCCCCAAGAGAGAGGAGGGTTTATCTCCTCTTAAGAGCAGGGAGGGGGAATTGGCACCGGAGCTGGTAAGCTAATTTAAAGGCAAAGACATCTGAAGCGAGAAGAGCTGTTAGGCTCGAAACACACAGAGTCTGAGCGTCAGCACGTTCCTCTCCCGCTGCCAAGGCTCTTCGCACACATCCCTCCGTGGTGCGAGGGAGATGACTAAGAGCCTGCAAATGTTTGGGTAAACACCCACGCCCTGGGACGGCTCGGCTCAGCACCAGGTCTGAGCCCAGACCGCCGCCGCGGCAGCAAGTCCCTTTGAGCAGTGACCACGTCACGGTGCTCGAGGCGACCTGGCTCCGGAGCAACCTTGAGCTGATGGTGCAGAGCTTTTCCCAGCGCCCGAGATCTCGGGGGGCGGGGGGCTCTGCACCCCCATAACGCAGACCCCAGCAGCTCCGCTCACCTGTAAAACTTGCAGATGCGCAGCTTGATGTCGGCCTCGTTGGGTTTGCCGTTGCTGCGGATATTGCAGAAGATCTCTTTGATGCGGCCCACGCGGTAAGGGTCGGGAGCATCCAGGTTGCTGCCCTTGATGTATTCTGAGTACTTGCGGTAGTGCTCCGGGTGCAGCTCCTCATCCACCGCCTCCTTTTTGGGGCGCTTGGCTGGGCTGGCGGGTTTCATGCTGGGGAAAAGGGGAGGGAAGGAGGTTGGGGTATCCCTTTCCCCTTAAAAAAAAAAACATAGCACAGAGCATCCTCCTCCCATGTCTCTGTCTAGCCTGCCTCCTTCCTCCTCTTCTGCTCTCCTTGGTGCAGGGTGGGCACCAAGCCTCCTGCTCCGCAGCAGAGGGGTTTTACAGCCAGACCATCACATCACGGCTGCAAACCAAGGTGCCCACACGTTGCTGCCCCAGCCCTCTTCCCAAAGAGGTTTGCCATTTCTCCTCCCGTAATTACAGGCAGCAGGCAGGGTCTTGTTTCACCTTTCATCTACCCAGGCTCGCTCTTTTGAAGAAAAAGCGACGCACAAAAGGATTCCGATTCATCTGCCAAAACACAGCAGCTCGGCGATGGGGATTGTCTGATCAGAGAGAAGTCGCTCAGTTTAATGTCGGGAGGTGAAATTGGGGTTCTAATCTTTAGTTCTAAGTTAAGCTTTTGGAAATTAGGGGGATAGGTGCTTCGTTTACAGGTGGGATTCGCTACCCGGAGACTATGTCCTCTGCTACCAAAAGCTTGACCAAAGAGCATCCTGAGAAGTGCTTACAGCCCCCTGCAAGCACCAACCTGAAGGAAAAGGCTTCTGGCAGGAGGTAGACACCATCTCCCACCCTGTACTGCACTCCGTTCTTGGTGGCCATGGCGTAGAACATCTTCCCATCCCCTTCTTCCAGAGGCTCAGCCACTTTGGGTATCTCCTTGTGCCTTACCTCGTCCAGGCGCGTGCAGCTCATGCAGAACCTGCAGGAAAGGAGGAGAGCAGAGCGCGGTGATGGGGACCCTGCCAAGGCCG